GTATTGATTTGAGATAAAAGAGAATATTCAATTTTCCGATATCAAAGGTAGCCGAGGAGGCAAACAGGTTGGTTTTAAAGGAAGATGATCAATTACGCCGGCTGTGTTATTTCACTTGGATGAGTTCGTTCTGGCTACATTTAGTTGGCAAAGGAAAAGAGGCGATGCTAAGGTAGGCCGAACAAAATAAGCTCTACCTCCGGAAAAACTGGCTCTAAACAACAGAGTGGGAAGTCACAAATGAAAACACACTTAGTGAAAATCTTGTTCACAGGAAAGTTAAGCTAAGTAAGGCATGCTCAAAAGTTATAGCCACCCTTATAGCGTGATAAACGGCATAGCTACAAAGACGGGTCACACTTTAGGATTTGATCCATAGACTTTAAGGAAAGAGACACCTTTTGTAGCATAATTAACAGAGCTACTGCTGAAAAGTGCTGCCTAATAACTTTCATGAGTTTTATGGTTTCAATTTAGGATTTCATCTACCGACTCAAAACAAGTGTCAAAGCCAAACTGTACAGTGTAAAGGAAAGAAACGCACCAAAATAGCTTGTCGTATCGTTTATCTTTTTCATAACTTGTTCGGCTCTTATCCACAATCGTTTAAATAGAAAAAAAGGAAAAAACTGCTGTAGTCAAAATTTAGCGCTTTATTTATACGGACATTACTTTAGCCGAGTGCAATTCATTTTAAATTTATGACTTTAAGGACTCTGTGATATAGTTTAATTGACCACAGCTTGCTCTCCAACCTGAATAATTCACTCCAACAGTTTTCGGGCTACAATTTGTATAACTGAAACTCAAACTGGACAGTACCATGGGAAAAATACATCGCTGATAATCTTTCATCCGAAAAGGATTTTTGTCCTCAGTTCTCGTTTAATCTAAGGCCACAAAAACGAGACAGATCTCTAGTAACGGAGTTGTTAGTATCGCTCGAGGGTTTATTGTAAACGATAGCTATACATATTTCATATTGTTTAACTAAATCAGTCTATTTTTGTTGGGACTGATAACCAGAGAGAGCAACCAACATCAAGAGAAAAATCGAGCAGCGTATGAACCTTACAAACTAAAACGTTTCAGCGACATCTTTTTTTCGCTCGAGGAGCTCACTCCCAAATAACATCTAAATTTCTCCCTCAATTTAAACGCTTACTAATATAAACCGAGGCATTAATTTCCTTTCTCTTTAAATATCAAACACCGAAAATTTGTTTTCGTAGAACCCCCATCTACTACGTGTGCACATTGGTAACCTTTTAATGCTCATCGGGAAACGAAGTCAAATAGCAAGCTTTTAAATGCTTCTCGGAAAATGAGGTCAAGTCTAGTGAAATCTATTACAGAATAATCTAATCAGAAAAAGATTCCTATTCGAATGAAAGACTAAATCTTGATTTTTTTTGTCTGTCTCAAAGATCAAAGGATGCGCAACCGTAATAGCTTCTCCTTTCTACTTCTTTAATCTTTATTTCTCTTTCACTTTGCGGCGTAAGAAACCATTCAGTGAAACCTTTTAACCAAGAAACACTCCTCTCCATTAGTCACCTAGAAGGAATGCTATCGGCTTCATCTCTCTTTTGTGTGAAGTAATTTTGGAATCCATTTGGCACGAAGTTTCACTTTTCTTGCTCGTCTTCAACCTAAGGCGGACATTATGCACACTAGCTACTGTTCAGTAATTTTTCTACTTATTTCCGGGCTATCAAGATTCATCGGTAAGCTTATAGTAAACTTTGTCACTAAGTGAAAATTGCGCATGGACAGGATTTCATAAGATTTTTTGCACTACTATTAATGAAAATTGAAGAAAAAATGTTTTTATAAATGTTTTTATCCCATCTCTATCGGCAACTTTTATTCTGCTTTTTTGTTGTACTGCAAATTTTTGAACATTTGAGAAACATTAATGACAACAGATGTTCTTATGATAGTGAAAATTATATCGCTAATGCATGTGTCTATGAGACGTCTTTTCACCATCCCTTGAGGATGGATACATCAGTCGGCTTTAAAAGTCTCAAAGAAGAATTTATGCCAAGAAAATGAGTTATACCTCATTAAGTGTGAGTTAAGAAAAGGCACAAGGGCTCTTTAAGTCAGCAAAAGGACTGAAAGCGGCTTAGCAAACGTATTTAAGTGATTTATTCTAGAAATAAATAATTAAAGCTCTTCTGCTATGATGCTGAGTTGCAATTTCATGAAGTCGTTGTTACAAGGGTTCTCTTTCATTTGCTGTGAATGTCGACGCTGAGAAAAAAGTTCAAGGTATGAATGGATTAAAACAAAATTGTTGTTTACTTATTAGACAGGTATACAAAGAAAAAAGTTTTTGGAGTACTAGAAACTGATAAAGATGCTTTGAATTAAACCGCAGTCATATCAAAAAGTCAGAGGAGAAAGAAAATAATAATAATAAAACAACCTTGCTAAGGCGTATAGTCGCGAGAATGACTAAATGATAATTTTGATCAAGACGAACAATCGCGAAATGTTCATTTTCACATGAAAAATGGCATTCATAGCTTAATGTTTAGAAAAGTGACAGCGTTGAACATTTGCTTTCCATTGTCGTTGCTTATGGACATCGGACGAGTATTGACCTCTCAGGGCGTTAGTCCTTATAAGCGATGCAATTGACTACAGGTGGCAACATCTCTTTGAAAACGACCCTGGTGAATTTTTCAGCAATTTGAGAGAAAAGGGGCCAAAAAGAAGGGTTTTTTGCGCCCGACAAGTTCGATAATCACACTACAGACGCAGAAAAAGAAAGAGCGAGGAAGAAGAAAGGAGTAGAAGAGAAAAAGAAAAAAAAAAAAAGTGGTTACACTCTTAGGTTTTATATTGGCTACTCTGGAGATAATTTTTGTGCGAAACGGTGAGATTGGTATTGGTGCATTTCAGATTTTAATAGTTTAATTCCCTCAGACGCAGTTTGATCAGATTTTTCAGAAGACCGCGATTGTATAGACCCATTTTTGTGTTTTTAGTTTCAGGCATTAAGCGTATTTATCTTTTTCACTGTCGCCTTTAGCTACGACACACACACAAACACACACAAAAGGCAAAAATTTGGTAAAATAATTTAAAGAATTGCCCCACTCACATCCATTACGGATGGTAACACCATGTGGATAGTCAAAGGTTGAGGCTTCATTCAACTCACAAGCGGTGAAAAATAAATTAAACAACCCCTGCAACGAAAATTGCAGTTGCAAATGCGAAAAAAGGTCTTTAAAAAAACCGAGAACACATCGTTTCACTTCTGCTTTTCGTTGGCTTACCGTTCTAACAAGATCTCTTTTTTATGGGAAGTGATAAATTTGATTCGAAGTCACAGAACAAAAATCTGTAAAGCCTTAAAATTTTATTGCGAGGAAAAATAGAAAACTTCTATGTTGTATATGTACCCTGTGCGCAAATAAACTCAGATGATACAGTGCGACTGAATTTTCGATTCTAAATTCTCATATCATTCTACTATCCTCAAGACACAGCTGTGATCATTAACGTTCCAGAAAAAACTTCTCGGACAGTCGCTGCACAAACCAATACCTTGTTTTTTAACGGTGCAAATTTGTATACTTATCTTTTTATAAGGCGACGAAAAAACTTCTCGAATTTTTGCTCTATGCCTATCTTGGCAGCTGTATGTATGTATGCATCCAATTCAAATTATCATTATCATTATTATTTTTACTGCACTTTGCAGTTTATTTTTTGCCGGCAGGTGGTTGTTTTTTCTGCTCCAAAAGAAAAAGTTCATGTTGAGACATTTATAACACCTGCACCAACACCAAAAAAACAAAGCAAAACAAATCAATCTTTCTTGCATAAATGTCTCTTTTGAATTCTTCTTTTTTCAGTATTCACGGCTGACAAGATGTAGATGATAGCGCAGTTCTATTGGATTCTTCTTTGCATAGGAGTCCGTCAAGGTAATTGCCTACTTTGCTTGCATATTCAAAAAAATGTACATTCCATAGCTTTTAATGCGAAAAAAAAAATGAAATACAGGCCACGAGAATTTGATAAGTATAGGCTTAAGATAGTATATTATAATTGTTATGAAATCTTCAATAACTTTGCCTTCGCTATACCTATATATTTTGGCAAACACAAATATGTGATGCAGTGCTCTTTATGTTGAGGAGGACCCTGTACGCATACCTATTGATCAAAATGAAACGTTTAAGTCTCCTCTTATATTAGCGATCGAGTTCAAGAAACCAAAAGAGCGACAGGAGGCTAAAACGTCATTTTAAAAAAACGAATTTGCGTGGGCTTTGAAACTTCAGGGCAATTGTCCCAAGAGGCAACTTTGTCAAATATAGGCTAACTCTCCGAGAGTTAAATTCCTAAGAAAAATATCCAAGTTCAAAAGAGAAAGAGAAATACGTCGTCGTTTTCTCATTTTCTTCATACAACTTGAAAATAGGAAATTCTAAGTGGATGGTCACGTTATATTTGCGCATTCCAAACACTACAAATGTAAATTAGTTGTCGACACTTTTAGCACCGCTCAAAAACCATTAGCTGAGAAACAAATATTTTTCCATGCACTTTATTTACCATACCAAATGTTCAATAGGCTGCTTTTTTGACTAATTTAATCCAGTAACCTTCAAGATGAAGGAACGTCAAACCAAAACACTCAAATAATTTATAATTGCGTCTTAACCGATAATAACCAAGGGGGAATTCATCACGTGACATACGCGCCCCGCTGGACCTTTTTTCTTATTTTCAAGAGCATGCTGCAAATCAGTCGACCCAATTGTTGGCAAAAAAGTAATGACATAACTGTACTACTGGCAAAAGGTCAGTTCTGGCTTATGAGCATTTTAAGAAACCCTGGAACAAACGTTACCAGGGGTGTCATCCTCGCCCCACCTCTCCTCGTGTGCTCGAGGCATTATGCTCATAATAGCATATTTTCTCTTTCTCACAGCAAAATTAAGAGAGGTGGCTTCGAAATAACTGCAGCTTAAATGGAGGGAGAATCTGTTATCTTAAGCCCAGCGGCTCACTACGCTATTGCCTTCATCTACTTTATGCTGTCGATCGCTACAGTAATACTTAATTCAATCGTCATCCTTACCTTCATAATGGATCGTTCGTTGCTGTTTCCTGCAAATCTCGTGATCCTCAGTATAGCTGTATCTGATTGGCTAGTTGGATTAGTGTCAGAACCAATGGGTGGCTTTGCTAATGCGTCGTCAAATTTAGTGTTTAGCCATAAAACCTGCCTCTTATACGCGTTCATCACCACCTTTTTTGGCCTGGGAACTATGTTACATCACGCCACGTTTGCATTCGATCGGTACTTGGTCATTTCTCGACCAATGAAAGCCCAACATTCTGTTAGACGAGTCTTGGTAGTAATTGCGCTTCTGTGGACCTTTGCCTTTATTTGGAGCCTGTTTCCCCTGATGGGATGGTCCGCGTATGGTCCCGAAGCAGGCGACATTGCCTGCTCCATCCGATGGCAGTCAAGCCGTGCAACAGATACCTCGTACATTATTTTCTTGTTCGTTTTTTTCTACTTCATACCCCTGACCATAATCGGAGCTTCCTACATCGCTATTTTCAGAAACGTGCGGTACATGACAAAGAATGCTCAAAAAATCTGGGGCGCTAACGCTGCTGCCACCCTAGAAACTGTGAAAGCCTCTTGGAAGATGGCAAAAATTGGTATGATCATGGTCTTTGGGTTCTTCTTTGCGTGGACACCGTACGCCGTAGTATCGTTTTACGCCGCCTTCGTTTCTGCTGAAGACGTCTCTATTGTTGTCGCTGCCACCCCAGCGATATTTGCCAAGACGTCGACTTTATATAACCCCATCATATATTTCTTCACATACAAATCATTTCGCGAAAGCCTGCTGGCATCATGGCGGCGATATCGAAACAGAAACATGGTCCAGCCATTCCACCAAGCCAGCGAAACAGGTTTTGTCGTCAGATCAAGGGCGACCAGAGCCAATGACACTTTTGCTTCTACTTCTGTGGAGGAAATAACTTTGTAACTAGGAAATTAACATTGAAATAAAGAAAGTAGGATATACTTTCAAGGGCGTACATAGGGGGGTGGATTGGGTGACTAGCCACCCCCTTTTAGAAAAGCCCACCAAAAAAAATATATACGTGGAAATACAAACGGAAATACTTGGGCCCCCCAAAATTTAGAAGTGCGTAGGTCCAAGAAAATTAGGAACGCACTTTTTAATGACTGTAATGAATTTCCTACTGATCCCCAAAGTGGGTGAAAACAGACCTATAAGGTTAAATACGTCAAGAAAAAGAAAATCAATAAAAACTTGACAACCGACCCACGAGGCTCTACCGTAAACCAAAACAGGAACTTTCATGTAGGTAAAAATCAAGGTCAGCTATAATCCCAAACATGCCAACTACAAGGATTGACAATCAAATTTGATTAAACCACAAGATAAATGTCACTTATGTTGACAAACCCATTACAAAGGCAACAACACTCAAAAACCTGTCGACAAAAATACGGATTAGCCTTGATCTACAAACTTACCGTCAGGCACGAAATTTTTGCAGGAGTTTATTTTTGCGGATTGGAGATTTCTTGTGTTTTGCGGAAACGAATTTTTGCGATTAGGACAGATTGGTTTTTCTAGCTGGCAATTAACTGTTGCGATTTTCAGAAAGTACCCAGTACCCAGCATTGATAATATTTTCGTTTTTATTGAGTATGTGCAATAGAAATACATATTTTCAAAAATAAACCGGTATTTCGTAGTTTCTGAATGAAAGAGACAAGTTGTGATTGAACAGACACGATTTCTTAGTACTGTATTTTTGGATAGCGAATTTAAGTTGGAGAATATTTCCTCTGGAATAAATTTTTGCGGGAATAATGTTTGCGGTAATCTTTATCTGCGGGAACTTACTTTTGTGCATCGCTGGAAAAACCGCAAAAATCGCAAAAATTAGAACCCGCAAAAAATTCTTGCTACGCGGTAGTCATAACGAGACTCAAGGCACGAGAGATAATTCAGGTGTGACACAAATTCTCAAAATAAACTAGTAAATACTTTACATAAAAGATATAGAAATGGTAGTGGTGAAGGCAGTGTTAGTGGTACTGTTAGTGGTTTTGGTAGTGGTAATGGTATTGGTATTGTTGTTAGTAGTGTAGTAATAGTAGTCTTGATAGTAGTGGTAGTAGTAGTAATAGTAATAGTAATAGTAATAAATTGCTTTATTTGCATGACCACATCATTTTATAGTATTGCAAAAGCATGCATATGACAATCAAAATATAAAACAAACAGCACTAATAATAATCTAGAAAAATTTAGTTACATTACTAACAATGAATCACGTATTTTCATACAGGAGGAAACAAACTTCATAACTAACTTATTTACATGATGTTCCTTCGAATTCATTATCAGTTTTATGCTTTCTGGAGATAATTTCTTGTCAAAGTCAGGTATTATTCGATTGATTTGATTAATAAATGCCTGTCTCTGTACTGAGTATTTGTTACATTGAAAGAGGAAATGAATCTCATCTTCTACCTGATTTGAGTTACATAAGGGACATAATCTATTTTCTCTTGGCAAACGATCGATTTGGTATCGACCATGTAGTAGTAGTAGTAGTAGTAGTAGTAGTAGTAGTAGTAGTAGTAGTAGTAGTAGTAGTAGTAGTAGTAGTAGTAGTAGTAGTAGTAGTAGTAGTAGTAGTAGTAGTAGTAGTAGTAGTAGTAGTAGTAATAGAGTTGTGGTTGTTGTTGGTATTGTAGATGTAGCGACGACAGCAGCGTTGGTAGGAAAATGAGAAATATCGTATATGAAAAAATACTCAAACGTAGAGGCAATACTGAGGACTATGTAGATATTCCTAGAGACAGCAGAAAAAAAAAGATTTATTAAGTACGAACAAAAAGGAAAAATATGCCGCCTGATAATTAGGTTAGCCATTACAATTTGTGAAGTTCCGTTCTATAAGCTTTTCGATTTAATGACATCATTAATAAAGAATGTCATACCTGACCTCAGCAGAGGAGAATATTGGACCTTGATTGAGTACTTTTTTTCTGGTGTATGGGTCTGTAAATTCAGACGTTACTGAGGAAGTAAAGTGAACGACTCGAAGTAATCGTCTGAAATTCAGTCTATCTGCAACTATACTTAGATAAAGAAAGACCTAGTGTTCGCACGACAAGCTAAACTCTTCAAGGACCCAGCGTGACCTGACAAACAACGAAATCCTTTATATTTTGCAAAATCACCCATGGGAAAGAAAATCAGTCAAGTCAAGTCCGCATTTAGATGGTATTTATTTTGTTGAGTGTTGATGGCGTGAAGCTTTGTTTTCTTTGTGTTCAAATGAAAGCATTTTCTGACAGGGAAACGTCCATTTTAATACAGTGAAAACCCAAGAGTAAGAACAGTTAGACCTCTTTGCCTACAACGTATTTTTCACTTCAGAAAATATAAACTTATTAAAGAACCTAAAAAGCATAAATTGGTGGTAATTACAATTACAGTTGATTCGGGACCTGCGTTGTCAAAAATGTTTCAGGATTTTGGGTTTTTCTTCGACGTCAATCAAATCGTTACTATCCAATCTTTGCTTGTCAAATACATTGCAGTAATAGCGAGAAGGAGCTGCAAAACTAAGTGTTAGCGGGAACGTACCGATTCGTTTTTACCCTCCCATATTCATCTTTCTTCTGAATTTGGAAGCTCGTATAGGAACAATTTCACCTTGGAAATCTAAACTTGCCATGTTTCGGTAAGAAGGTAAGAAGGTAAAGAAACCTTGAGAGTGTAAACACGCGAACTCTGAAGTTCAAAAGCAACAAACCTTGAAACGCATCTTCATTCTATGCTTCATTCCTTTCACATGTTGAGATCAACTTAACATATTGGCCTGCTTTCAATGCACAGGCATGTATGGGTCTTCATAGCTCAAATGGTAGAGCACTGCAGCGCTAACGCAGAGGCCATGGGTTTGAATCCCGTTGAAGTCCCGAAATGTTTTCGGGTTAATTTGCAATTGCTTAAATTGCATATACCAATGCGACGATCATATTTAGTAATTAATGAATGACAATGAGTAGAATATGAAGAATTAATCAAATCGAGGATAATAGATAATTCCTAGTTTAAAAACATAGCTAAAACATGCTTGCAGGCATCGATGTTAAGTTCATCTTTGATAGTGTACGTTTAGGTTTGTCCAGCTCCGCAAACATTCTCCAGATAGCAGATGTCGCCCTCGGAGTTGCCTTCTTGCTGTTTTTGCCGTGTTTTTAGTTATTATTTCGCCTAGTTCCAGCTGTAGTTCTTACTCTTGAAACGAGTGAAATATCCGCCATTTTTTTTTTTCACAACCAAAACAACTCAACCTCGTCCCAGGTCTTCTCGGTAACGGTGCCTTAACCTGTAGCGGACTTCATTTTTGACGTCATTTCCTCGTTAAACACAAAATTCTTCCAAATTTGGTCATCAGTAACTGATTATGGTGAATTATGCGTGTGCCTTTAGCCAATCAGAATTGGACAAATACTTTGAATGAATAATGGTTCATTTAAATTTTTAACCTTTTTCTACTCGAATTGGTTTATAAATACCTTAGTGTAAAGGATGGTCAAAACAAGGATTGTGACGTCACATTATGTCACAAATCCGCTATTTAACAATTAATGAATGACGCTGAGTATCTTATGAAGAATTATGGAGTTGGAGGAGGGTGTTATCCGTCTTCATATGATACGAAAGCCGAATTCAATAATTGTTTTATTATTCATTCAAAATAATTCCTAGTTTAAAAATATGGCTAAAACATGCTTACCTCCATCGATCCATCGATGTTAAGTTCATCTTCGATAGTGCACGTTTAGGTTTGTCCAGCTCCGCAAATATTCTCCAAATAGCAGATGTCGCCGTTCGAGATGTCTTCTTGCTGTTCTTGCCATGTTTTTAGCTATTTTTTCGCCTAGTTTTTACTCTTGAAACGAGTGAAATGTCGGCCATTTTTGTTTCCAGAATCAAAACAACTCAACCTCGTCCCAGGTCTTCTCGGTTAACGGTGCCTTAACCTGCACGAACGCTGCATTTTTGACGTCATTTCCTCGTTAAACACAAAATTCTACCAAATTTAATCATCAGTAACTGGTTATGGTGAATTGAACGTGTGCAATCAGAATCGGGGAAATATTTGGAATGAATAATAATTGAAATTAAAGGCAGCCACCTTGATTTCTGAGCCAGCATGCAGTTACGTTGCTCAGTTAACAAAGACGTCATCTTAAATGCAGCATCTTATGTAAGTGATCCTGCTTAAAATATGCGTTAGTTTACCTGGTTTTGTGCAAGAAAGGTTGGATGGGGGAGAGATGAGGTGGATCGATCATTTTCCATGGATAGTGTCGCATGAGGATCGTGATAACGTGATGATATTTATTTTGAGGTAGCTAGCTCGTTTTCTGAGCCTTTTGGTTGCCAAATGACATCAAAATAAGTCATTTTAGTTCTTACCAGAACGATTAAATGAGCTAGAGAATATATTGATTGTTCAAAAAATAGGGGAAAATCATAAAACAGACAGTTTGTAAGAAGTGAAATTATGCAACCGAGAAACTGGTTTCAAACGTGAATCAGTACATAGACAAATAATTGATCGAAAGAGATTGGTAATTTTTCTTGAATGTGTTTGTAAGTTTACAATAGTAAAAATGGCGCAGGCAGTTTTTCCCAAACCCGTCCTCATAGGGTAGATAGGGTTTATATGCGCGTGCCTAAACAAAGGGATTGGCCTGTTTTTCTAGTAGTCTTAAATCCACTTGTTTCTCTGTAGACAGCTCCACCTTAAGATCTTGATTTATAGAAATAACTTAATTGTTCAGTTCAACCCGTTCTCTTCATAAATATGCTATTCATTCTGGAAGCCATTAATCAAAGATTTGCTGAGCAGACATTTCTAATCCCACGCAGCTGTCTTTTATCAAAGCTAATCGTCATGAATTATAAAAACTAGTGAAGTAATTCTAGATAATTAATTCTGAGTATATTTATTCATTGAATATAATCCTTTATCAGTTAGAAACATGTTTTTGCTTAGAGATGGATTTTGATTTATCCGAAGTGTGCCGCGTCATTAAAAGTAATCAAAGAGTTAATGAAGAAGTTCCCTAAGAGTGAGGATGATGATTTTTCAGCCAGTTAGGCAAGACTAGGCCTGTGTCCAAAAAGTGACTATGATCTTAGACAACATCTTGGATTTTCAGACTTCGTGAAAACTCAGTTTTTTTTTGTCTGAGTTCTAAAATAAGCCCTTAATTAAAATTTGAGATTTGCTGCTTTTTATGTATTTATTGCACCAAACCTGAGAAAAATGACCATTTTGGACTACAAATCTCTTAATTTCATACCATTTATAAGGTCATATCTCATCCCCACAGTAAACGAGGGTAACCAAATTTTGCCAAAAATGTACCAAAAAGATAACTGCATGACTGCTGAAAAGATCGGGTTCAAAATAGTTCAAAAAATTTCTTGAAAAGCTTTATATCCTCATGTTAATAATATACTTGTCAACGATGGAAACGACACATTCACTCTATCGCGCTCACTTAAATATGCTCGATTTCCCTATATGCCCCACGTTTTGATCAATGAACTGATGAACTCTCTGATTACTTTATCAATATGCAATTCGTGAAATATATTTCAGGTTGATTTGATTTTCGCGTCGATTTCTTAACAAAGTACTTGTTCTTAAATTTCTTGTATTGTTATAAGCTGTTATACTACAAATAAATAAAGGTTGTGTTATTGTTGATACATTTCAGCTAGCCCCACTACCCAAAACACTTTTTTGCCATTACTAGCTTCAAGAAAGCATTTTTAAATCACAGACTAGAAAACCATTTATCTAACAGAAATAAACCGCTCAGAAATTCTTCCAAGTCGCGGATTAAGTTATTTCAAAAAATCACAACCCTTAGCACCACCTCAAAAGGCTTGTTTGCAAGGTCAAGGGAGCCATAAAATGAGTAAGGACGATGACAAGTTATTTGATTCGGTGTTGTTTTTAATTTAACTTTGTCTAAGTTAAAAACAAGCAGAAGGTGCGTAGGAGTTTCCAGAAAAAAAATCGTGTGTGTGCGTCAAACTCACACAGAAAATAAAATATTCCCACACACTACTTGGTCATCATTATTTTCATTCCAGCCCTGTATTCAATTCTCACTTTGAGGCATTTCATGATTAAGTTTGGGGGAGTCGTGTTTTCTGTAGCGTACTATCTGTCCTGCAGGTATATGGAGAAAAATGAAGTACGCCGTTAACAATTGTAATGATCTTTATTTACCACTTATAATAAAACCTTTTTACTTAAATCTTACATTGGTGTCTAATTGTACCATGGCTTTAGCGACCTGAACATGCACGTACGCACGTGCGTAGCTGACAAAAAAATGAAGACTGATTAGGGTTGATAAAAATACAAGGAAAAAATGTTTTAATATACATGGGCAAAAACGTCTCTTGGAAATATCATATTAGCCACGTCTCAATGGAAATGTCAAAAATGACAGGCATTTATCTCTCAAAACGCTTCAAAAGTTATATAAGACGATGATCTACCCATATCTAACATACTGTACTGGGCAAGCACTTATCCTACTAGACTAAATCCAATTCTCAGGTCCCTGAAAATACTAAAACATCTTTGAATTAAATAATATCTAAAAGCCGTTTTTATGTATTCACTTCATCATAACA